AAAACATTAACTTTCAGTATTCAGTATTCCCAATTATTATAATATTTCAGCTCTATTTTCCCATATAAATTTCACTTCCAGCCTTTGATCTCCAATTCTGTGATCCCCAGTTCCAAGATCACAATGTTTATCTGAATGTTTATTACATTTCTCTACGTTTGAAAAATGCCAAAGCATAACCTAAAAGATAAACTCTTGAGTCCGAATTTTGTACCTTATCATTCTTGATGAATGTATCTTTTCTTTTATGTACACTGAGAGTGTATGCACCAAGACAAATTCCTTGTGTGTCCAATCACACTTAGCTAATAAAGAATTCTATTTATTCTATTGACTCAATATTTGAGGGAAGGGTGGGTTGGGTTCAAGTTTTTTTCAGAGAAACAAGAAAGACACTGCTTTCCCTTTGCGCACATTCTGACAAACCTTCTCCCACACATGGTACCCTCTCAATCTGTATAAAATAGATGAACAACTCTCAGATTATGCTCTCCTCCCCTTGAAGAAAGCTTTCTTTTCTCACCTTAGCACTTTAGTTCTCCAAAGCAGTTCCAAAGTGTTCATGCTTCAGTAAATTGCCATTGTTTGTCTCAATGTTTTGGCAAAGAGGCATTGCTTAGGCCAGGCTGGGCTGGGCTGGACTAACCACAAGGATGCCAGATTTTGACTTTGAGAATCTGGCAGCCTCAATGAATGGTCTCTAACAAGCTGCTTAGTGAAAAGAATGACACTTTGGGGAAGACAGCAATTATTTTAAAAACCGATAACAAGAGAAGAGGAAAGAGAGAACATATTGCTAGTGAACAGTGCATGGCTTGAGGCAGATAAAGGAATGGCACAGAGCACAGCTGTGTTAAGACTGTGTTGTGAGAACAAAACTGCTCCCTTTATTATTAGAGAAACAAGGCACCTATCATAAAAGAGCCTTCAAACAGAATTTTGGCAGAAGTTATCTAAGAAATGCTGCTATTCTGCTAAACAAAGTTATGTCCTTCTTTCATTTGAGGCTTTATTGATATTAATGATGAATGAATCTGCCCTGTGAATGGGTCTTGTGCTTCAAGCTCTGACTTAAATCATTTTTTGTGGAAGATGGTAATTAAATTTGATTAATACCAATATATTTTCCATACCGACATACAAATTCAGTTATTTGCTAACTGTTAGTGCCTCCACCATGTGGAGTCCACATTCACATATAGAAAGCTTATATCATAAAGAAGTCCTGGATCTCCTTGGCTACTGTTCTAAGGACCAAAATGCTCATAAATATATACTGGTTCAAGAAGTGTTAAAATGTTAAAAACAAATGTGGGCCTTATTAGGAATTGTTCTATAAAGGTTTTTAAATTATGCAAAAGAATGCATTATCATGTTATTCAACAGGTAATATTACTATGGGCAGGGAGAAAGACCGAACAGGAGGGAGAGAAAGAAATGCAAGAAAATATATTATTAAACATAGAGCCAACAGACTGAAGCAAAACAGGTTGTGTTATTTTTGAAAAATGCTATTATGATTAGACCTAAACATCAATTAATCACATACTGATTTTCTAAGCCTCTTGCTACATTCTATTTCACAACAATTTCAAAAGGAATTTGTGACACTGCTGCAAATTCATCAAAGGATAAGGTTTACAGCTTTTATAATGGTCAAGGATGATAGAAATTACAATTAAGCCTCATGGTCCAGGGTGGACGAAGATGCTATCGGTCATAAGAAAATGCTTGCCATCTCTTGGAAGCACAAATGCATGACAGAGAAGAGAAGACAGCTTTTGCCTCTCTCCTTGCCTGATTATTGTTATTGTTTGTTTCTCTATTATATTCTTTCTCTTTCTGTTTCTCAAATACATAATAGTAATCTAATTGAAACTTAAACCAATTTGAGAAAGTCTTAAAGCTTGCAGAATTTGATCAACTTGTGGCAAAATCCAGCACAGATGAAACTCTTATTATCTTTTATACTGAGATAGATACAGAGATTTGATGAAAGCAAAAAGACATTTATTTTGCAAAGCTTATTGCAGTTTTCTCTCAAGGCTTATTGCTTTTCCTTCAAGACATCTGAAGGCTGAGAAGACTGGTCTTCCATGATTAGCCCTTGTTTGGTTTCCCATAAGCTGTTTGTTTGTTTTTTCGTTCGTTCGTTCGTTCTTGCAAAGAGTGCAAGGGACTTCTTGCAAACTACCTGGCCAATGTCTGGAAGGGTTTCAGGAATATAAGATTGGAGAAGTGAATGTAAGATGCTTATATTACTAAAATAAAACTTTCAAAATATAAAATTTTAAAAAGTAAACATAATTTTTTGGAATTGTTGAGTGCTGAGTTTCTCTGGTGATGCATAAAAAATTCCTAATTCTATAGTGAAGGACAAGATTTTTTGTAACATTAGAACATTTGTGCCATTTTAATCTGCTTATAGAACCGAAAAAAGGGAGGCCTTGAGGTTCTTCTGTGAAGAACATAAATAGATATGAAAGGAGAAATTATTCTACTGATCTTCTTTCATACTTTCTTTGTATTTTCATCCCTTAGAAGGGAATTATCACAGGAGTTTTTAAATGGTTTTTAAACAACTCTAATGTTAAAAGCAAATTAGAAATAAGTTCAGAATTTTGAGAATCTAATTCTGCAAAATATATAAAATATTTAGAATGTCACTCATTTGAGCTAGCACCAACTGGAAAATCTACAAATGCTATTTTGAACAGCATACTGCTTATTTTTTAGATATAGTTGGCATAAAACAAAGGTTATTGCAGGCACATTGGATTTAAATAGCCAGACTGAGTGCTAAATTGAAGTTGACAAATTCATCAATATAAGAAAATGAAATTTCTTTAATTTTATTCAGTTAACATACAGCTTCATTTGCAAAAGCTAAGTGTATATAGACAGTAGAGTATCACGGAGAAAAGTGTTATGAAATACCAGCAATGAGCCAGTCCTTAAACTGGTTCAGGAAATGTGTGTATGTTTCTCAAACTCAGATCTAATATGCTAAGTTTCAACATGAAATAAATTTTATGGCCAAATTAAAGCCCCTAAAAGTGAAGTTTATAATGGAAAATACTGATAAAATCGTAACTATAGAATTGCAATTGCATCACTATGTGAAAATTGCTTTGGATAAAATCTCTTTCTGGAATGACTGCCGTTCAAAATGTTTCTGCATCCCCATAAATCTAAACCAACTCAGTCATTCAGAATTGCTAAGGCCTAAGCTTACTACCCATGAGCAGTGAAGTTATGGTGATTGCTATAGTAACCGTTGGTCTGCACTGCTTTCTCAGCAGGTGGTCTTTTTCAGCTGCACAGATGCAGGAATGAAAATACATCAAATCATTTCAAAACTAATTATCTAAAGTTGCAAAAAGACAGATTCCTAAACTTCCTTACTATCTTTTCTGCTAACTATAAGATTTTTTAAAAGAAAAGTAAAAGAAAAGCACAATGCATGAAAGTATTATCGTTGTTATATTGTTTTATTCTAGTATTGCTAGTGACAGCTGCCTCAGCGTATTATTGCAATATGTCAGGAGCAATGTACAGCAGGATATATAACACAATTCTAAGTATGCTATATTTCTTTGTACCTATTTAAGAGTTTGGTAGATTACTTATTTTAACGGGGAAAATAAATCCTGGTTTTGATTTTAATTTTACTGAAAATCACTATCCACAATGTAGAATTTATTTTTATGGTGCTTTACTCCAAGAGGATCCTTCTACTTTTTTCTTTCTTATGACTATTATATATGGATTTATTCTACCATTATATAATATCACAATATAATATTATTTTCTGTTAGAAATGTACAAATAAACCTTCAAGGCAATTGTATTATCTTATTAAAGTTATTTTAACACCCTGACTATACTTAATGTACCTTCTAATTCATGAGATGGGGACAATAATATGTTGGATTGTAAGGTAGATCCTAAACTAGAATTCCAAGTTTCTATAGAACATCATGGACAATCTTAGGATAAATCTGGAATTGCAATTGTGACATACTGGTCCCTAACATGTCAATTGTTTGCTAACAAGGATTTTTCCATGTGAGAAAGATACAGCTGAGTGGTAACATACACCAACCTTTTTTTTTTATCATATTATAAATTATGTTGTGCAAACGTTTTGATAGACTATGATGGCTCATAGAGGTCACTATTTATGGAACATTGCAGTTTGAAATATAATGAGGTTATGGGAAAGAACCTGAAGTGAATGTGCTAGAAGAGTCAAATTTTTATTTTATTTTATTTTATTTTATTTTATTGTTTGCTTGTTTGTTTGTTTGTTTGTTTGTTTGTTCCATCCATCCATCCATCCATCCATCCATCTCCTCTGTAAGGTGATTCTGGGCAGTTTCAAAGGTCAATCTTCTTCAGGGAAGATTGTTCGGAGCTCACAGGATCTTTTGAACAAGGTCCTACAACTAGTGACAAGAGATTTCAGAAATTTCAGTAAAACAGAGTAAGTAAAGCAGGTAATTGTAATGGTCCATATATAGGATTAGCTAACTTTAAATTGCCAAAAGAGAAGATACATTTTGAAATAATGCATGTAAGAAGGTTTCTTGTTTTGTATCTCAGAATGAAAAGAGCTAATAGGCGCTCTTGAGAAATAATCAGTTCCAACTTGAAAAAAGTAAGTTGACTGTCATTCTGGTCCACCTCACATGGTACCCATTTTGACAGCTGCCTCTAAATTTGTTGCAAATTCCATTGGTGATTATCAAAAGCAGCAATACTTTTTACATTTGCTTCTCATCAATGTCAGAATAGGAATCAAAGTTTGTTTTGGTATCAAGGGAACACAGGTATCAGAAGAATTCCAAGCAAATATGTTTGTGACCCAGAGAGAGGGAGGGAGGGAGGGAGGGAGGGAGGGAGGGAGGGAGAATTAAAAAAAATAACCATGTAAAAAAGAGTGAACCCTTTTTGTCTCTGATATCCATAGAGCCTCCTGTTTGCAAATAATGTGTAGAGAAAAATGTCTGCATTATTAGGACCTTTTTTTATGAGTATATCTCAAAGGACCTCAGTCTTCTCTGATTTCTGATTTTCTTTCACATATTGTGCTGCTTAGCAAAACTACTGGCTGATAAAGGTTTCCCCTTTATTTTTTCTGAGCAATCTGCTTTTTTGTTTCTCTATAGTCCATGATGATAATCTAATAAATTTATTTGCCTTAACTAATATATTTCTGAATTATTTACTTGGAGCGTGTCTAAATTTGTTATTTAATAAACTTCTGAAGTTTTGACTTACTCTGAAACCAGTGTTAGCAATCTGAGACCTCAACAGAATATGTGCCAGATACCTTAGATTTCATTACTTTGGCATTATGGTAAATCTCTTGTTGGAGTGGATTTAAAATCCTGACAGTATCTGTAAAAAAAAAAAAAAAAATCAATTGATTATTCTGGGGAAAAAAAGACCTGATATATTTTTCATTATAATTATATACATATAGTTTGTTTATATTTACAAATAACTCAAGGCATCAAATATATCAAATACACTTTCTTCCTCCTGTTTTCCCCACAACATCAACAACCTTGTGAGGAGAGTTGAGAGAGAGTGACTGACTTTAAAGGCTTTTGGCAGTACAGGTGGCCCTCGACTTACAACCACAAGTGAGGCCACAATTTCGGTTGCTAAGTGAGACAGTTGTTAAGTGAGGGGGGTTGCCACATTTTACAACCTTTCTTGCCACAGCTGTTAAATGAATTAGTGTTAAGTGCCTTTGTTAGATTAGTAATCTAACATGTTGTTAATTGAATCCCGCTTCCCTTTTGACTTTTCTTGTCAGAAGGTCACAAAAAGAGATCATGAGACCCTAGGACACTGCAACCATCATAAATATGAGTCAGTTGCCAAGCATCCAAATTTTGATCATGTAACCACAAGGATGCTGCAATGGTTGTATGTGTGAAAAACATCAATAGATCACTTTTTTCCATGCCATTTTAACGTCAAACAGTCATTAAATAAACTATTGTAAGCCAAGGAGCAGGGGTGAAATCCAGCAGGTTCTGACAGGTTTTGGAGAACTGGTAGCGGAAATTTTGAGTAGTTCGGAGAACCGGCAAATACCACCTCTGGCTGGCCCCAGAGTGGGGTGGGAATGGAGATCTTGCAATATCCTTCCCCTAGGAGTGGGGAGGGAATGGGGGTTTTGCAGTATCCTTCCCCTGCCATGCCCACCAAGCCACATCACACTCACCAAGCCACGCCCACAGAACAAGTAGTAACAAAATTTGGATTTCACCACTGCCAAGGTGTACAAAATCAAACACATTATAAATAATAATAATATAATAAAAGCAGGAAAACTGTCAACAATAACAAACAATGATGGTGCAAATCTCCTCGCTGCTTAACTAGTATGTCATAGCTTCTATTAGAGGGCACCTGGATTGGATGAGCAGAATTTATTTGAGATAGCGAGTTTCTAAGATATCCAGGCCCTGAGCCTTATATTAATCTGGTTGTTCTTTGACAACAGTTTTCCAATCATCTAATCAGAAAAGTAATTTTCAAAAAAATTCTTTTCAGGAAGCATATACTCATTGTTTCCTGTTTATTCATTCTATTCTGAGCAGCTGTTACATTATTTAAGTGTTGCATTTCCAAATGTTCATGAATCTTTCCCAGCAAGACTCATCATGCATCACTCATGCCTTCTTTTTAGAGGCAAAGAGGATAATTAGCATCTTCCACAATGAGATGAACATTCTTTGCTTTGTTAATTTAATTCTTTCAAAAAGCCAATAAGTTTGCATAAAGTTGTGAAGTGCTACTCAAATTACTGAGCTACATCACTTGTAGACAGAAATTATATATTTTGTTTTTATAGAACTGGAAGAACAGGGAGCTCCAATTAAAAGAAATTGTATTTTGAAAAGTGATGTTTCTGGGACTAAATGCCATCAGGGCAAGTCAGGCAGACTGTCTTAGCTGTCATGAATCTTGATTTATGTAATTTTAAATATGAGTCTTACATAATACAAAGTTGATAACCAAGTAGCATTTCAAGAGCTAAACCTGAATACTGATGGAAAAGGGAATTTGGTCCATTCTTCTGATAATAATAACCATCTCTGATATTTAAGTTATGGTTTATGAACTTGGCTTTCAAGTTGGATAGTTAATCCTGGTGTGTGTATAATATGCTGTCTCCCGACAATTAACTATACTCTGTCTTAATCTAAAGGCCTGATTCTTAGAACATGTTAAAATAATGACTGTATTTCCACAATGTATTGAACTACAAACTATCAGACTTTAGTATTTTATTTCACCTCACCTCACCTCACCTCACCCCACCCCACCCCACCCCACCCCACCCCACCCCACCTCACCTCACCTCACCTCACCTCACCTCACCTCACCTCACCTCACTTTACTTTACTTTACTTTACTTTACTTTACTTTACTTTACTTTACTTTACTTTACCTTGCTAAGATGAAGCCTTGCTTACCAAAACCAATTCCAGCTAACAGATTCATTTGGATTACTAAGCCACATAGCCTTGTGCCTGTGTTTCCATCCCCTGGCCAAGACTGCAGGATAATGTGCAGCTTTCATATTTGGCTGACCTCAATGTGGTGCTGTTGTTTAACATACATTACTGCAAAGGTAGCAAGTTGTTGTTGTTCTCAACAGGATCACCCTGCTATTCCATCAAATAACTTCTCCAGTAAGAGCAATTTGAGTGCCATTTTTCCTTGTTCGATCAAGTATTACAGTGTTTCTCAACCTTGGAACGTTGAAGATGGATGGACTTCAAATCCCAGAATTCCACAGCAAGCAAAGCCACCCATCTTTGCTGACTTTGCTGGCTGTGGAATTCTGGGATTCCATAATGTTAGATGGGCTGGTCAAGTTGTTAACCAGCTGGCCCAAAGCAAGCATTCTAAATTTCACACTGAAACAGATGCTTTTAAAAACACTTTAAGCAATCAAAAACTGGATTAAGTAGTTCCATTTTATATGAAAATTCCAGATATATTTGAGTAGTAAAGTGAACTGTTTGTTCACTGTGACAAGTCAGATTGTTTATGTCAGGGTAAATGTCTAATTCTCCCAGGCAGGAGCTGGCACCTCCCCATACCCCATCATACCCCCTTACCTCAGACTCCTCCCCTGGTATATAAAAGGGTCCTACACGTGGGCATCCAGCAGTTCCAGATGTGTGCCTGCAAAGACAAGACAGAGGTCAGTGACCTTTACCCTGAATTGGGCCTAGGAGGACTCCAGGCCTAGAATAAAAAATCAATGAAGAGATACCATTGTCTCCTGTGAGTTATTGGGTTAGATCCATCCAGCATTAACAAATTGGCAGCAGAGGATGGTTACCCATAACTCTAAAGAATGACTGAACAAGCCGTTCACTCTGATAAGAAGAGCAGAGTAAACACCAGGGCATTCACCAAGAGGATGGCTGCTCAACTGACACCCAAAGGTGCCATGCCAAGAGCCACCCCAGCTGGAAGTGGACAGGACATCGAGCCGGGCCCACTCCTCTGCAAAGAGAGACCATGGGAGGAAGCAGATGACCACAAAAGAGAAGGGCCACGAGAGGAAGACGAACTGAGAATGGCCCTGCTGAAAATGATGGAAGCGCCCATCAGCAATGGAGAGCTCATCACGAAAATCCAAGGCCTCCTAGAAACCCATGGAGCAGTGATGAGCACCCAAGAAAACGCCAGCCCGGTAAGGGAAAGGGAAGGGGATTCCCTCGTAGAGGCCCCGGACATAGAGGGGCTCAGTTTCACGCCAATTTCCCAGTGGCCATCTTGGAATGGCCAGCAACCAATGGGAAGCCGGGATTTGAATCCAATGGCGGGAAACAGTGAAGGCCCCAAAACAAATGGGGGGCATCCAGAAAACAACTGCAATAGACAAGTCCAAGTAAATCAGAACTTGCCTAGCATGCTCGAGATAGAAAAAGCAATGGAGACTCTAGCAGCAGCCTTTGGCTCCGCATTCAAGCCTCCTGCACGAACCACAAGCTGCAAGGAAAACCTCGAGGGCCAAGAAGGCACCAGAGTGACCACCGGCTTCGAGACACCAACCCTATCACTACCAAAGGGGGCAACGTGCTTCCACGGCAAACAAGAAACCCCGACCGCCTATGGAGCAGAACAAAGGCAGGACTTGAACTCACCACCCACTTCACTAACTACGAGGGATCCAAGAGAAGAGAGACGCGCCAGCTACCTACCTGCTCCGCAACCTCCGCCAGGCTTCTCCAACCGACCAGGGGCCAGCACATCCGGGACAGGACCAGCCATCGCCACCGCCGCTGCCGCCGCGCCACAGATCCTCAAAAGTCCTCAATTTACGACCGTTTCGATCCCAAGCCTCCAGCCATTCTTTGCCAGGGACTACACAGCCCAGCAACGACTTCCAGGGTCCCACGATGCATCCAGACCCACCAGGGGTGAGTCAAGGGCTCCACCAGCAGGCCTAGGCCTAGGCCTGAGAACTGCAGCCATAAGCTCCCGTCCAGACGGCCTCCAGCATGAAATGGGCCTCGCACATGCTCAGAAGCCACCTGCAGGAAGAGAAGGGAGGAATAATAGAGATAAGTCAGAACATAGAGTCAAGTCAGTACAGAATAGCCATTCCCATGCCATATTGTGAGTTCCCTCACTCACAAAACCATGGACAGCTACCCTCTGTAAGTAACCATTCTAACAATTCTGGGGCTTTACCTGTCAACTTTCCCAAACTGCAAATAGATGGAAAAAATCTTCTAGAGTAGAGTCAACAGCTGCAGATAGTTTTTATGAAAGAAAACTTACTTTTCCTAATATCAGATCCACCCCAGAAACCCTGGACTTTTGAAATTGACTGTAACCACCACAGGGCTTTTTGTATTTTGTTAACCAGTATTTCTCCAACTTTGTACCCAAGCATAGGGAATCACATGAAAGTGCATGAAGTGATACAAAAAACTTTATAACCTTTTTTACAGCAGAAGTAGAGCAACCACAACTAGGATTTCCAGAGAATTCCATTCTGCCAGACTTAGACCAGGGGTCCCCATGAGTGAACACCTGTTAAAACTTAACGCAACCAGGACTGAATTAATGCATAGGGGTGAAGCAATCACTGAGGAGAGTATGATGAGTATAGTCATAAACTCTTTAGATAGTAGCTGGGACAACTTTGTGATGCAATTGGACAGCCTCAGTCTAGAACACTTAACATTAGACACACTCACTAACCACCTTATTGCAGAGGATAATTTAAGGAGGGACCGCCACATGTCAAGAAGGGACCCCAGATCCACCAAAAGAGTTGAGTTCCAGGACAGGGGAAAGGTTGCCCCAGAGTGTTTTTCCTGTGGGTCCAGGAATCATTTAAGGAGGGATTGCCCCAGAGGTGATAGGGACAGGGGATATAGAGAGAGATGGTCACCAGACTGCAGACATTTCAGGGAACGGGGACGTGGGTGGTCACCCAACCCTAGAAAAAGCAGTGAACGCAGGGATGCTTCCAGAGATAGCAACCCAGGGACCATGTACGGCTTCAGGCATGGTAAAGCAGACCCCAAGCAGGGGACAGATGAGAACATGTGGCTTCTGGATTCAGGAGCCACTAATCATACAACAAACAACCCCAATCTATTCACCTCCCTCGTAGAGACAGACTTCAAGATCAGAATGGCTAACCAGAGCACAGCCAAGGTCATAGGGAGAGGGAATGTACATATACCAGGGGTTGGGAAAATAGAGGGGGTGCTGTATGTGCCAGAAATACCCCACAATGTCTTAGCCATCGCAAAGTTCACAACAGACACAGACACAGAGGTAACATTCAAGGAAGGCAGGGTACAGATACTCAACCAAGGAAAAAGGGTTGGCAAGGTAACCACACATGATGGATTACCGTACTTTACACCCAGTGAGAACAGCGAGGGAAGTATAAACACAAGCATCACCCATGACCAGGGGGAAGACACTGAAACTAGAGGGGGACCCCAGAAGGAAACAAACACTGTGTCACCAGGCAAAAACAAGGTATCCGTGGGAAAACCCATCCACGACAATTGTGCCCACTTCCTTCACAGAAGGCTAGGACATATCAGTTTCCCGGTTGTAGAAAAAATGCTAGGATATACAGAGGGTTTGAAAGTAAAGGACTGCAAAAATTATTTGGAGTGTTCAGTGTGTACATCTTCAAAAATTAAGGTCAAAGCAAGGCCCAAAAGGTCAGAGCGCACAACTGACCACCCATTTCAGCTAGTACACATGGATTTAGTGGGACCACTGAGACCTTCCATTGGACACAGGAAAAAGTTTTTCTTAACCATAGTAGATGACTACAGCAGGTATGGCTATCTGTACTCTCTCAAGCATAAAAATGAGACATTCCAAAGGTTCAAAGACTTTTATAAAAGGATGGAACTACAACATGGGGCGAAAATCAAACAGATAATGACTGACCGGGGCACAGAATTCATGGCCAAGGACTTTGCAAAATGGTTAAGGGAGAGGGGCATATTGCATTTTAGCTCCACCCCTTTTTCCCCATTCCAGAATGGGGTCTCAGAACGAAAAAATGGATTGCTCCAAACAATGATGAGGTGTGTTTTGGAGGATGCTGGAATGAACCAATCATTCTGGTCAGAGGCACTACACTATTCAAATTACACACTAAACAGGTTGTGGTCAAGCTCAATCAATAAAACCCCATACGAACTAATGTACAATAGAAAACCCAACCTAGCCCACCTACACGTATTTGGTGCCCAAGCTGACGTCCACATTCCCCGACAGCTAAGGAAGAAGGGAGAAAAGGTGTCAAAAAGACTAAGGTTCATGGGCTATGAGCCTGGAACAAAGGGATTCAGATTTGTGGACTGCAATAACAAATTCATTGTGTCCAGATCTGCGGAATTCCATGAGCACTCAAACTGGTCAAAGCTCCACTGCAATGACATTTTCCTTGGCAGAGACATGCAACCACATAAACAAAGCAACAAAGAACTGACCACCAGGGGGCCAGAGGAAACTGAAACAGACAGACCCAAACACCAAGAACTGAAAGCCGAGGAATGGAAAGAAGGACACCCCACTCTGAACCTAGATAGCCTCACCGAAAAAGAAGCCGAATGCCTTCATGAAGCAGATACGCCTCCAGACAGACCAACTAGATCCAGTAGGAACAAGTTACCAAAGAGACTAGAGGACTACGTCATGTCCATACACACAGAGCATTTCACACCCAGTTCCTACGAAGAGATACTCAGCCTCCCCCAGGAAGAGAGGGAAAGGTGGAAGCAAGCCATGGAAAAGGAGATGGAGAGCCCCCAAGAACTACAGGTATACTCGCCAGCTCAAGCACCTGAGAACAAAAAGCCAACTGGGACCAAGTGGGTGTTCAAAGTCAAAACACTCAAAGACAACAAAACGCTCTACAAAGCGAGGTTGGTCACACAAGGCTTCACCCAAAGGTACCCGGAAGACTACACGGACACCTACTCCCTCACAATCAGGGCTGAGAGTGTCAAGAGCGCCCTAGTAATTGCCACCATCCTAGGGCTGGAAGTATTCCAATTCGACGTGCAAACTGCATATCTACATGCAGAATTGGATAAGGAGATCTATGTTAAGGCCCCACCAGGATACAACAATGGAAAGGACAACACATGGCTCCTGAACAAAAGTTTATATGAACTCAAACAGTCTGCCAAGAGGTGGTACAACTGTCTAGCCAAAGCTCTCAACACCATGGGCTTCAAAGCCACCTCTGCAGACAAATGTTTTTTCACAAAGAGAGAGGGAGGAGCATTCGAAGGTGTTCTTGTGTATGTGGATGATATATTGTACATAGGGAAGCAAAGGGCCAAATGCGATAAATTTGCCACCGAGTTAGGAAATCATTTCTCTCTGAAGTCACTAGGGAAGATAGACAAGTACCTAGGGGTGCAAGTGATTAAAACTGACAAGGGCTTCCGGATCTCACAAAGAGAGAAAATCATGGAACTGTTATCCAAATGCAACATGTCAGGGGCAAAACCCTGCGAGACACCCATGCAACCAGACTTCATAAGGAGCATGTACAATGAAGCTGAACCCTTCATTGACAACAAGCTGTACAGGTCAACAATAGGCTCGCTACTCTACATCGCCAACTGGACGAGGCCTGACATCGCTCTGGCTGTCAATCTACTGTCCAGACACGTGAGCAAGCCCACTGTCCTGCACTGGGATGCCATAAAAAGACTGCTCAGGTACCTGAAACACAGTGCCAACGCCCAGCTGTGCCTCGAACCAGACCTGTCTGAGAAACCCAAGTTAACCTACTATGCAGACGCTGACTGGGCCGGGGATGCCAAAAGCAGAAAAAGCACTTCCGGGTACGTAGTCTTCTTAAACAATTGCCCTATACATTGGTATACGGGAAAACAGAAGCTGGTGGCCACTTCTACCACCGAGGCCGAATTCGTCTGCTTATCAAAAGCCACAAATAACCTAGTGTGGTTTGATGATTTACTTACTGACATCTGGGCCGAACCAACATGCCCCATAGTCATACATGAAGACAGCAAGGCAGCTATAGAAATATCAAAAGCAGATGCCGTGGGACAGAGATTGATAGACATAAAATATAAACACGTTAGGCAATTCTCAGAAATGGGGTTCATTAAAGCCATATACTGTGACACTGAACAACAAACAGCAGACATACTTACAAAGCCACTACCTCAAAAGCAACACGCATATCTCACATCAAAAATATGTGTATATATGTAGATCATGTGTTTTATGTACCTAACATGTATGTTCACAGATATCATATGTCTGCCGTTAATTAGACATTTAGAGGGGGATTTGTCAGGGTAAATGTCTAATTCTCCCAGGCAGGAGCTGGCAACTCCCCATATCCCATCATACCCCCTTACCTCAGACTCCTCCCCTGGTATATAAAAGGGTCCTACACGTGGGCATCCAGCAGTTCCAGATGTGTGCCTGCAAAGACAAGACAGAGGTCAGTGACCTTTACCCTGAATTGGGCCTAGGAGGACTCCAGGCCTAGAATAAAGAATCAATGAAGAGATACCATTGTCTCCTGTGAGTTATTGGGTTAGATCCATCCAGCATTAACAGTTTAAAACACACACACACACACACACACACAAGAATTGTAAACACCAATAATTCAGTCTGTGTGGTGGCCAGAAGAAAACTGCAAGGTGGACAAGGTCAGGATGGATAAAAGGGGGGATCTCCACAAGAAACCTCCAATGCAGGGCTGAAATCCAGCAGATTCTAGAGAACCAGTAGTGGAAATTTTGAGTAGTTCAGAGAACCGGCAAATACCACCTCTGGCTGGTCCCAGAGTGGGGTGGGAATGGAGATTTTGCAATATCCTTCCCCCAGGAGTAGGGAGGGAATGGGGATTTTGCAGTATCCTTCCCCTGCCACGCCCACAGAGCCACGCCTACAAAGCCACACCACGCCCACAAA